TACAGTACCATTCACAATGCAATTTTTCAAAGTCAAAAAAGAGAAAAGACTTAGGGACTAATATAAGAAAACACGTACAGGACTTATAAGCTGAAAACTACACAGTGCTGATGAAAGAAATTTAAAGTTCTAAATAAATGGAGAGATACACTATGTCCATGGATTGGAAGACTCAAAATAATAAGTGTCAATTCCATCCAAAATGACCTATAGATTTAACACAAATCTTAGCAAGATTTTTCTCAATTTTCTTTTTTTTAAGATTTTATTTATTTATTTGAGAGAGAGAGAGAGTGAGCGAGAGAGATAGCACAAGCCAGGGGGTAGAGGCAGAGGGAGAAGCAGACTCCCTGCTGAGGAGGGAGCCCGATGTGGAGCTCAATCCCAGGACCTTGGGACCATGACCCAAGCTGAAGGCAGACGCTTAACCGACTGACACACCCAGGCACCCCTTAATTTTCTAAATTATCCTAAAATTTATATGGAAATACAAACGAATTAGAATAGCTAGAACAAGTTTGTTTTTTTTGTTTTTTTGTTTTTTGTTAAAGAATAAAGTCGGAGGGATCAGTCTACTCAATTTCAGGACTTAGTATATGCCTATATTAATCAAGACTGTAGTATTAGTGGAGGGATAAACACAGAGATCAATGAAAGAAAAAAGTTGGCAAATATGCCCAACTGATTTTTTTCTTTTTTTTCTTTTTTTTAAGATTTTATTTATTTATTTGACAGAGAGAGACAAGGCGAGAGAGGGAACACAAGCAGGGGGAGCGGGAGAGGGAGAAGCAGGCTCCCCGCTGAGCAGGGAGCCTGATGCGGGGCTCGATCCCAGGACCCTGGGATCACAACCTGAGCCGAAGGCAGATGCTTAACGACTGAGCCACCCAGGCGCCCCTGCCCAACTGATTTTTTAAAAGATTTATTTATTTGAGGGAAAGAGCTTAAGTGGGGGAGGGGGTAGGGAAGAGGAAGAGAATCTCAAGCAGACTCTGTGCTGAGCAAAGAGCCCAATGGGCAGGGCTGCACAGGGCTTGATGTCACCACCCCGATATCACCACCTAAGCAGAAACCAAGAGTTGGGCGCTAAACCGGCTGAGCCACCCAGGAGCCCCTTAACAGAGTCTTTTGAGCAAACAATTTTAATTTGGGGGCACCTGGGCGGCTCAGCTGGTTAAGCATCTGACTTCAGCTCAGGTCATGATCTCAGGATCTTAGGATCCAGCCCTGCATGGGGCCCCACACTCAGCGCAGAGTCTGCTTGGGATTCTCTCTCCCTCTCCCTCTCCCTCTGTCCCTCCCCTTGCTCAAGCACACGCTCTCTCTCTCTCAAATAAAACAAATATATAAAATCTTTAAAAAAAGAGACTCTGTTAAAAGGATGAAAAAAACTATAAACTGGGAGAAAATATTTGCAAACCATGTATATGTCAAACCACTAGTATCTAAAATAAAGCACTGTCTCAAAACACAACAATAAAAAAAAATCCAATTAGAAAATGGGCAAAACCATAAACAGACATTTCACCAAAGAGGATACACAGATAGCAAATAAGCATCGAAAAGATGTCCAACATCTTCAGCTATTAGAGAAATACAAATTAAAATGAGATATCACTACACAACTATCAGGATGGCTAAAATTAAAAATAGTGACAGCAGCAAATGTTGTTGAGGATGCAGAGAAACTGGACCACTCATACATTGCTGGCAGGAATATAAGATGGCATAGCTACTCTAAGAAACAGTTTGGCAGTTTCTTTAAAAACTAAACATGCAACTACCATATGACTCAACAAATTGTACTCAGGCATTTATCCCAGAGACACGAAAACTTATTTTCTTAGAAAAACTTCTGGGGGTGCCTGGGTGGCTCAGTTGGTTAAGCGACTGCCTTCGGCTCAGGTCATGATCCTGGAGTCCCGGGATCGAGTCCCGCATCGGGCTCCCGGCTCGGCAGGGAGTCTGCTTCTCCCTCTGACCCTCCACCCGTCTCATGTGCTCTCTCTCTCTCTCTCAAATAAATAAACAAAATCTTAAAAAAAAAAAAAAAAGAAAGAAAAACTTCTGAACATGAATGTTTATACCATCTTTATTCCTAATAGTAAAAAACTGGAAACAACCCAGGTGTCCTTCAATGGATGAAAAGTTAAACACACCATGGACTATTAAAGAGGAATGAACAATTCATACACGCAACAATCTAACAAATCTCCAGAAAATTATGTTGAGTTAAAAAAGCCAAACCAAGGGGCGCCTGAGTGGCTCAGTCGTTAAGTGTCTGCCTTCGGCTCAGGTCATGATCTCAGGGTCTTGGGATCCAGCCCCACATCGGGCTCCCTGCTCCGCGGGAAGCCTGCTTATCTCTCTCCCACTCCCCCTGCTTGTGTTTCCTCTCTCACGGTGTCTCTCTCTGTCAAATAAATAAATAAAATCTTAAAAAAAAAAAAAAAAAAGCCAAACCAAAAAACCTTACTTGGTAAGTTTATTGTAGTGTAATTCTATTTATATAACATTCTTGAAATTATAAAATTAGAGAAATGGCATACAGACTGGTCGTAGCTGGGGTAGTTAAGAACTGGAGTGAGAGAAGGGAAGTGGATGTGGCCATGGCATGATGGAAATGTTCTGTATCTTTACTGTATCAATATCAATATTTTGGTTGTAATATTATGCCACAGTTTTACCAGATGTTACCTTTGTGGGAAAACTGGGTAAAGGGTACATGTGATCTCTCTGTATTATTATGATTTTTTCCTTTGTATTATTTTTTACAACTGCCCATAGATCTATAATTATCTCAAAATAAAAAGTTTAATTTAAAAAATACACAAAATTGGAATAAAGTTTGCACTGTTAAAAGCTCAAAAAATACACAAAATTAAATGACAAATTCAAACCATGAAACAGACTTGCCATATAATGATAAGTAATTAACAACCTTAATATGTCCAAACCTTTTGTAAGTCAAAAAACAAATGCGCAAAGAACACAAACAGGCACTTCACAAAGGAAAAATACAAACAACGAATATTCATCAAAATAATTAACCTCACCACCACTTAAAAGCATGAAAATTTAAAATAATGCAACAATCAGACTGGCAGAGATTGTAAATTAGATGCTGCAGAGTTTGCTGGTAAGTGGTTGCTCTTCTATTACTGACTGGAATAGAAAGTGACAGGCCTTTATAGGCAGATCATTTGGTAATAGGTATTAAAAATTTTTTTTTTAGGGATGCCTGGGTGGCTCAGTCGTTAAACATCTGCCTTCAGCTCCGGTCATGATCCCAGGGTCCTGGGATCGAGTCCCACATCGGGCCCCCTGCTCGGCGGGGAGCCTGCTTCTCCCTCTCCCTCTGCTGTTACCCCTGCTTGGCTCTCTCTCTCTCTCTCTCTGACAAATAAATAACTAAAATCTTTAAAACACACATACACTTTTTTCTTTAAAATATACACCTTTAGGGGCACCTGGGTGGCACAGGTAGTTAAGCGTCCAATTCTTGGTTTTGGCTCAGGTCGTGATCTCGGAGTCATGAGATTGAGCTCCATGTCAGGCTCCATGCTCAACATGGAGTCTGCCTGGAATTCTCTCTCCCTCTCCCTCTGTCCCTCCCACTCGTTCTCTCTCCCTAAAATAACTAAATAAATCTTTTTTTAAGAAGTATACACCTTTAAACGTAATAATTTCAAGTCTGGATATTTACTCTAAGAAAATAATCAGGTACACATACAAAAACTTATCTACAAAGATCGTCACTATCATACATAATTTGTCATGCTCCCAGATAAGGGATTATTGGGTAAATGACAGCCATGTAATGAAATAATAGGCAGAACATGAAGCTTGAGAAAAATAACCACACAAAAAATTAGGATACATAAAATGAAAAAAGTGGGTTATAAAACTAATGCAGGGACGCCTGGGTGGCTCAGTCGGTTAAGCGGCTGCCTTCGGCCCGGGTCATGATCCCAGGGTCCTTGCTCAGCAGGGAGCCTGCTTCTCCCTCTCTCTCCCTCTGCTTGTGCTCTCTCTGTCAAATAAATAAAATCTTTAAAAAAAATAAAAAATAAAATAAAATAAAACTAATGCATTATATGACCCTAATTTGATTTCAAAAGTTAATATTTCTTAATATACGTGTTTACCAAAAAAAATTAGAATTCAAAAAGAATGCATAACAGTGGTTACCTCAGTGGGATGGTATCATGGGTGAGAAATACATTTTTTTCTGTGCTTCTTTGCATTATCAAAATTTTCTAGCAAGAGTGGTGTGTTAAATCACTTTAGTCATTAGAAGAAAAAAGCAGTAATTTTTTTGTTGTTTTAAAAGGAGCCCTGGGGTGCCTGGGTGGCTCAGTCGGTTAAGTGGCTACCTTTGGCTCAGGTCATGATCCCAGGGTCCCGGAATTGAGCCCCGCATCAGGCTCCTTGCTCAGCGGAGAGCCTGCTTCTCCCTCTCCCTCTGCCTGCCTGCCTGCCACTCCCCCTGCTTGTGCTCTCTCTCTCTCTCTCTCTCTGTGTCAAATAAATAAATAAAATCTTAAAAAAAAAAAAAAAAGGAGCCCTGTATGGTAAGGCAGGCAGCCAGTTCACGCCCTTGGCCTGTGAAAGAGCCAGGGACTCCAAGGGCACTGAGCCTTTGGGCAACTGGTACAGACATAAGATACAATGGGCCGAAGCAGCCTCCCTTCCACCTCTGAAGAGACATGACTCACCTTCCAGAGTTCCTGAAGTAGCTGTTAATAAGAGTGGATAAGTCTGGAATGACACGTCACAGGTGTGACATTTTGGTTGGTTTGTTATACTGTCCTGGTTCTCGATTCTACTACGACTGCTTCCATGTTCCTGAAAACCTTGAAACTGTTTTGCACACCTGACCTGAAGCCTTTATAAAGGGTGAAAGGACATAAACATCCACACAAAATTGCATACTGAATGGAAAAGGCTAGCCACCTCCCCCCAGATCACATCCCCCCCAGCCCAGATCCCATCCTTACCTGTAACAAGCACTTGATCCGTTCTCCAGGGGTCATAATTCCTGTGGTGAATACACCAGATAACATCCCAGCTGCAAATATTTGGGGGTAACTGTATTGAAAACAAAAACCAAAGGCAAGCACCTGTGACTAACCACCCAGGACAGAGGTGATCCCAGCAAAGAGGATGACTTTTTAAGAAAAAATAAGCACTGAGGGTTGGGGGATGCCCTAAATGGGTGATGGGCATTAAGGAGGGCACTTGTTGGAATGAGCACTGGGTATTATATGTAAGTAATGAATTACTAAATTCTATTGCTTTAAACCAATACTATACTCTATGTTAACTAACTTGAATTTAAATTAAAAAGAAAAGAAAAAAAGAAGCACTTGGACTAGGCAGAAGCCCAGCAGAAATAAGTCATATTTTGCACAAAAGCCAAGTTCTAGGTATATTCTCAGTGCCAAGAGCAATATGAGCTTGGTCAAGAAGGCTACCTGCACACTCAGATGGCCTCACCCACGGGAGCAGCTTTATAGTGAGACACAGTTCCCTCCCCTGGGCCTGCCATGCACGATGACTATGGACAAGTTTTTAGGCTTCACTGAGCCTTGCTTCCCCATTTGTAAAATTCAGGGTTGTGGAAAAAAGCCTCTAACTCAAGATCTGGGTCTCAGTTGACCCCGGTTCCCCTCCAATCTCACTTCCTCTGGACCACCAAGGTCCTGAGAACATTTTAAGCCAAGACACAAGCAGGACAGCATCACGGCTGGTGGAGACAGCTGTGGCCACCTCCACGGGCTGAGGGGCAGCCAGGACAGTTGCAAGGACTAAGATGCTGAGAAAGGCCCAGACAGAGATGGTACCCAGACAGGCATGATGGGTTCTGTGGCCCTCTTGTGCAGGGAATGGTCCCCCAGTGGCCAGAGATACAGACCCGCACCCTGGCCCTCAAAGAATGAACCACACCGAGTATTCGGAGGAGTCTGAGGCTCCAGGCATCTATACCGCCCCGCTCTCTGTGGTACCCCTAGCATCTCCTTTTCTTTCTGGGATTGGTAATACAAGGGTGGCCAGCAGGCAATGGAGCACAAAGCCATAATTAGTATTTCAACAGAGCCCCCACAATTTAAAAAATGTTGCTAAAAATCTTCAGTTACTCTCCAGAGCCTCAGGCCCCTCCTGATCCCAAGCCTCTGCGAGCTGAGCCTTCAGGCAGGCCCCACCCAACAAGGAGCCCAAGATCTGGAGAGTAGATGTCAAACAGGGGTATGGAGACATCTACTGCAGGTTCTTCTCTCCAGGCAGGGCATCAGGTTGAACAGCCCTGTTTTTTCCATATTCTCATCCGAGGCAGGGCCCACACATATACCTCAGGCAGGTAAGTCTACCACACAGGTTGACTGTCTAACAGTCAAGAGAGTTGCTTTCATGCATGGCCTCATTCACAGGCTCAGTTCACACTACTATCCCCAAGAGGAGCCCTCTCTGCAACTGAACTTCCCCTCATGAGACCAACTGTTCTTTGCAGGATGCGCATACCAGGTTAGGCACACCCCCACCTCCTGGGAGTAAGGACTTTCCTCTGAATGGGGTCTCTGTGTGTGCACGGGGTACTCTGTAGACACTCTATGACTGCCTGGCCCGTTCTGCCACCTCCCACCCCACCCCAGGTTGGCATCTGTGAGTCTGGACCTCTTGGGCATCCACTCCACGGTCCTGGTAGCACTCATTTCCACACTATCCCTAAATACCACTGCAGGGAGGGGAACATGGCAGGGCTGATGTTCAGAATTTAGAACATGGCAAGATTATAGGAGTGGGGTCCCGAGTATCTTGACCTTTGCTCAAGCAGGAAGGCTGTTTCTTTGTACACTGATGTGATTGTACAGGGAATACAAGCCACAGGCCAAAGTACTAACAATGACCCCACTGGAGGTTTTAGTGCATGGTCCTGGTATAGGTAGGAACTGGCACATGAGCTAGAAGACCAGGTGCTCAGAGAGGACATGTGTCCATGAGATATTTGGACTACCAACAGTCAAACACAACTTCAAAAGGACCCCATACATGTCCACATTTGTGGCCACCTGTGGCTATTTATAGAAGCTGGGCACATTCAAGGGTCACAAGGACTCCAGAAATAGTTTCATATTACAAGCATCTGTATCTATGTCCTAGACCCTTACTCAGCATGCTGTGGCCTGAAGTAGTGACAGAAAACAACCACATAGCACCCTGGGCTTCCTCCTTTGAGCTCCTGGATCTCCAGCCTGGCTAAGCCTCTGGGGGTTCAGTGCTGCCTGTAACTCCTCCCAGGAGTTGTCACCTTGCAAGTCTCAGACTGAGCCACCTTGCTATCCCACATTTCCATTCAGAATTCCCCTGCATCCCAAGAAGCTGGTCTGATGAAAAGTACAGCACAGGGAATATAATATAGTCAATAATACTATAACAACTTTGTATGGTAGCAGATGGTGACTACACTTACCATCGGGAGCACTTCATCATGTGTATAATTGTTGAATTACTATGTTAGACACCTGAAACTAATATTATACATCAACTATATTTCAATTAAAAGTTAAAAAAGGCCTGGGTGGCTCAGCTGGTTAAGTGTCTGCCTTTGGCTCAGGTCATGATCCCAAAGAGCCGACCTGCTCAGCAAGGAGTCTGCTTCTCACTCTGACCCTACCCCCCTCTCATGCTGTCTCTCTCTCACTCTCTCCCTCAAACAAATAAACAAAATCTTTTTAAAAAAAGTTAAAAAATGTTTAATTTTTTAAAAATTGACCTGTTTTTATTAACTACTTTGTAAATTCTGAGCTGTAATCCTGACTCATGTGCCTCTTCATACCCAAATCCAACTTCTTAAAGTTTATGAAAAGAAAATACACTAATTTATTGCACTTAACAGAGAAACCAGTATCTGAAATAATTATAATCATATGATAAAAATGATGTAAAACAAAAGTTGAGACCTTCCCTTTTCCCAACCAGGTGATGGAAAACAAGGTTGCCTCTGTCTTTACTGCAGCACCAGGAACTGTTCATGGTACTTTATACACATTGTAGCATTCAGACCTCCCAATGCTATGGGGTTGGTATTACTAATACCCCTAGTAAGAAACTACTTCACAGAAGAAATTATGACAGTCTGATAGGGAGGAGGGGGGAGGGCTTTGGGTTGTTTTCTTTTTCCCTTTGGTTCACAGGGCAAAAGAAACTCAAGTCCCTCCCTCATGTGGAGCAACCAGGAGTCAGTGTTAGGGGCCCAGGAGGACAGCCACCCCCTATCTGCTGAGATTTTTTCCTTTAACCCATGTCACATCATCAGGCAGAACAGCTTCAAGTGCTCCAGGCTTGTAAGTACTTACCTAAGCACATCCTCTGGGCATTTCTGTTGTAGTTTCTTCCCCAAACCAAACCCAAAGAAGCACACAGCAAACATAGGGGTGACCCCAATGATGGGGGCAGCCATGCCCCGATATAGCCCCGTGATGCCCTGCAAGGAATCATAGAAGCAGAAGCTGTTTATAGACACAACTACACTTCATACCGCTGAAACGGGGAAGTAGTGTGTCCTCTAACCTGTGGCTTCCTTCACCTCTTCTCCAAGCAAAGAGAGCTTTAAATAGGAAGAAAACCCCAGAAATAGTTGTCCTCTTATACACCACGGAAGAAATTGGAAACAGCTTTCATTCTGGAAGACAATCTGGCAATATGCAGCATACTCTTTCATCAGGAAATTCTGTCGAGAAATTTATTCTAAGAAAATACTCAGAGATGTAAAAAGAGAATGACATCAGGCAATCATAAGCTCCCAAAATTTTGGAATAAACCAAAAAACTCCCAAATAGGACACTAACAAGACAAACGATGGGAATTCCATAAATGGACTATCAGAGCTATTAAATCGCATTGTAACATGAGAAGAGACTACTAGGTCTACTTAGAGACCACTAAAAAAGCAGGCTAAAAAACAAGATGTACGATGTGATCTGACTTCCTTGGAGTGAGACGACAGGTAACTAAGAAGTTTTTGTATTTTCCAAGTATTAAGACGTGGGGGTTTTATTGTTAGAAACAATATTAAGACCGCACATCAATTTTCACTCATACAGTTTGGTGATAAAATCAACTTTGTAGTAGCCAATAAATAGATAGATATCCCAACCATACAAGGTTAGCAAACCAGGGAAGAGGAAGATTTGGGACCCAGGAGACTAAGGGTTCAGCACAAGAGAGGTGAATGGGGTTTCCAAGATGGCATTGAGTACTGTCAGTCTAGAAAGAAGCCAGTCCACGTGGGAGTATGAGGATGGAGGACTCCAGAAGGGATGTTTCCGAGAAAAACAAAGCAGAACAACTCACAGTGGAACAACAGATTTAACTGTTTTGGCAGTGTGGAAAACCAAACAGAAAGGTACGCCACAGAGCTTTTCAGATATAGGGTAACAGAGACAGCAATTCAAAGAAACATAAGCAAAAGAAACTGACACAATCACTAACCCAACCTCAAGTAAAACAGTCAAACAAGAAATAAAATGTACCTCAGAGTACATTAGTTACTTAACAGGAAAAAACATATATGAAGTCGTAATCATGAAAACAGTGAATTGGATTAAACCACAAAATACGATAAAATTATATGGGCAGGGCAGAAAGAAGGGATAAAGGAATGTAAGACTTAAAATCATCTACCACAAACCGGTAGCTAAAACATGTAAGGATGTATAAAATATAGTAGTAAATATATATTATTTAGGTAGAAACAGCACAAACTGGAAGAGCTGGAAACAGCTGCCTGTGGAGAAGGGGGAATAAATCACTTTGCTACTTTGTTACAAGCCTTTTAATAACAAACCCAAGGGCTTGTATCACTTCAATACAACATAAGGAATAATTTTTTAAAGATTTTATTTATTTATTTGAGAGAGAGAGATAGTGAGAGAGCGAACAAGCGGGGCAACGAACTAAGCCACCCAGGCGCCCCAATAAGGAATAATTTTAAAAACAAAACTAAAAGGGCATCTGGGTGGCTCAGTCAATTGGGCATCCGGCTCTAGGTTTTGCTTGGGTCATGGTCTCAGGGTCGTGAGATCCACACTCAGCTCAGAGTTTGCTTGGGATTCCCTCTCCCTTTCCCTCTGCCCCTCCCCCAGCTTGTGCACTTGTGCACGCTCACACACACTCATGCTCACTCACTCTCTCTCAATAAATGGATAAAATCTTAAAAAATATATTAAAACTGTTCCTTGGGGCACCTGGGTGGCTCAGTTGGTTAAGTGTCTGCCTTCGGCTCAGGTCATGATTCCAGGGTCCTGGGACTGAGCCCCACATTGGGCTCCCTGCTCAGTGGGGAGTCTGCCTTTCCCTCTCCCCCTCCCCTTGCTCCTGTTTGTGCTCTTGCTTTCTCTCAAATAAATAAATAAAATCTGGAAAAAAAAAAAAAAAAAAAAAAAAGCTGTTCCTTAAGAGAGAGCTGCAGGTCGGGTGCCTGGGTGTCTCAGTCCATTGACTTCAGCTCAGGTCCTAATCCCAGGGTCTTGAAATTGAGCTCTGCATTGGGCTCACGCTCAGCGCAAAGTCAGCTTGTCCCTTTCCCTCTGCTCACCCCCCACCCTGGCTCGTGCTCACACACGCTCTCTTCAAATAAATAAAATCTTTTAAAAAGAGAGAGAGAGCTTCAGGAGAAACAGGGTGGTGCTACACACTGGGAGGGTCCACAGACACAGGCTGAAGGATCTGTCTCTCTGCAGACTCTGGGCATTCACAACCAGCCTTCTGAAGGGGCCAGTTGTACCAGTCAGCACTCCTGGATCCTGCAAAGGTCTAACATTGCCACAGGCTGTAAGCAGACTCTCTGAGGACAAAGTGCAAAGGCAGTAAACTGGAAAGAATGAAGGGGAAGAAGAAGGTTCTGAGGAGGATCTACAAAAGCAGCATGTGACAAAATCCTTCCAAAGCCCACAGCTCCCCACCTGGGCTGAGAAGGATGCCCAAGTCCTAAGGGGCTAAGCCCATGCCTCCTGACAACTCCACTAGCCTTCCTTCCACTATGCTGGCCCACCCACCCACTTCCATGCAGCACCAAGACCTCCGGGAGCTTTAGAAAGCAGAGAGCTCAGTCTGCACAGCAAAGCTGGGACACGCACACATATGGACTAAGGAAGCCTATTCAACTCTGCAGGGAATTGGGTTTATACAAGCCATTCTCACCAAGCCCCCAGGACCCAGCACACTGCCAAGCCGCTAACCATGTACTCAGTGTCTGTTGACAAGACGCATATAATCCTGCCTCTCTTCCTCTAGGGCAGAGGACTCTGAGCAGACCCAAAGCCTAAAGCCTCAGTCAGACACTGGTCAGGTTCTGCTCTGGGCAGCACAGAAGAAAAGGCAGCACCACCTCAGGCATGGGTCCTACAGGAACCCTGGGAACAACTTCTCCCCCAAGGATGAGTCCATCACTTAACCAGCATCCCCTCTTTATCTGGGTGACATCTACTTCTCAGTTTCTCTACATTTAATAAGGACTGTATGTTTAATAGAGTATTTTTATGAGAGTTATATTTTAGGAAGCAAAGGAAAAGTTCTCAACAAGGTCTTTTAACATATGTACTAATGAAGTGAGTAATAAATATCACTAGTAAAAAAACTTTTTTAAAATCCTATGTTTTCGGGCGCCTGGGTGGCTCAGTTGGTTAAGCGACTGCCTTCAGCTCAGGTCATGATCCTGGAGTCCTGGGATCGAGTCCCACATCGGGCTCCCTGCTCAGCGGGGAGTCTGCTTCTCCCTCTGACTCTCCCCCTCTCATGCTCTCTCTCAAATAAATAAATAAATCTTAAAAATAAAATAAAATAAATAAAATCCTATGTTTTTAGGGGCGCCTGGGCGGCTCAGTCAGTTAAATGTCTGCCTTTTAAAGATTTTTTTTTTTTTTTTTTTTTTTTTATTTATTTATTTGACAGAGAAAGACACAGCGAGAGAGGGAACACAAATGGGGAGTGGGAGAGGGAGAAGCAGACTCCCCGCCGAGCAGGGAGCCCGATGCGGGGCTCGATCCCGGGACTCCAGGATCATGACCTGAGCCGAAGGCAGTCGCCCAACCAACTGAGCCACCCAGGCGCCCCAAATGTCTGCCTTTGGCTCATCATGATCCCAGGGTCCTGGGATCGAGCCAGGATCCCTGCTCAGCAGGGAGTCTGCTTATCTCTCTCCCTCTGCTCCTCCCCTCCCCCCTCCCCTGCTCAGGTGCTTTCCCTCTCTCTCTTTCAAATAAATAAATAAAACCTTTAAAAATAAATAAATAAATAGGGGCACCTTGGTGGCTCACTCAGTTAAGCATCTGCCTTCTGTTCAGATCATAATCCCAGGATCCTGGGATTGAGCCCCACATCGGGCTCCCTGCTCAGCAGGGAGCCTGCTTCTCCCTCTCCCTCTGCTGCTCCCCCAGCTTGGGCTCTCTCACGTGTACTCTCTCTCAAATAAATAAATAAAATCTTTAAAAATATATATATAAATAAATAAAATCTCATGTTTTCACTCTAAGAAATACCTGAAAAGTTATTATATAATTCAATAACCCCAAACAAATTTAGTGTCTTTGTCTAGGAGTTTGAAGACTCACTGGCTTCTCTCACTGTTCCTCAGACTGGCTGACTTTTCCTCTAGACTTTACATGAACTTCTTTTTTTTTTTTTTTTAAAGATTTTATTTATTTATTTGACAGAGAGATAGAGAGAACAAGTAGGCAGAGAGGCAGGCAGAGCCACCCAGGCGCCACTATATGAACTTCTTTATGACTACATTTTTTTCCTTTTCTTTTCTCTTTTCTTTCTTTCTCTTTTTTTTTAAGTATGCCCAGCGTAGGGCTTGAATTCATGACTGTGAGTTCAAGAATCACATGCTCCACCAAGTGAGCCAGCCAGGCACCCAGAGACTTTACGTGAACTTGTGACACTGACCTCTATTGAACCGACTGATCCAGATTTGTATTTTCTTCCATTTCACATCTCTAATCATTCCCCACCAATTCCCTCTGGGCTAATTCTGCCTTCCAAATGAGAGAACGATTTTATTAGCTTCAGTCTTCCATATAAAACAGTGGCTGGAACTATCAAAGACTCCAGCGCCACAACAGGAAGGCACAGGACGGCACAATGAGACAGCAGCAGCTATGCGCTAGCCCTCCAGCAGAAAGTCACTCTCTCCCCCCAGGGGGATAACAAACCAGCTCTGTGAATGTAGTCCTCTGAGTAGGAGGAGTGCCCAGCACTTGGATACCATACCTCTCTAACAAGAGTCTTCCGGAAGCAGTCGAAGGTCCCAGAATACATGGGAGGCTGTCCAGGCAAACTCGGGGGCTGTGTCTGCAGTCGGACCTGAAAACAGAAGTGAAAATACAGTCAACTCCCAGAAAGAAAACTTCCTTCCAAACTCTGAACAGAGAAAGCTGTGCCTGTGTACGTGTCTTCGGCATTCACTTAGCCTGCTAGATTCAGACTTCTCTTTCTTCCAGTTTATCCAAAGTCTGCACTCACAGGTCATGAGTAGCATGCTTTTCTTCCCCCTCATCCAGTTACTTCCATTTATTTCTTACCTAATGGATCCCACAGGGACCCAATGGGATAGGTATTCCCAGCTTACAGATGAGAAGACTGGGTTTAGTGCCAGTAATAAGGCCTGGCTGATGCAAAGCTCCAGCTCCTGCCACCCCTGACCCTTCCATCTGTGGTGGCATGCTTGTGGTTAGGTAAGGCACTCCACAGAGGCATTCTGGAGTAAGGTGGATTTAATCCTACTTTTCTTGGTTCTCATCCTTCTCGGCCTTTTGGTATATCCAATGCTTCAAACTATGTCTTCTTGAAACCTCCCTTCTTTATCTCCTTTTCTACTCCAGGCATTCTTCAAGGCTTAGCGCCCTACCCAACTGGTCCACAATCCCTTTCAGAAAACTCAGACTGCAGGGCTTCAGCTTCTATTCAGTGATGACTATCACTTGGTCATATCCAGACCTTCTTTCCCATCTTTAGGGCTACATTTCCAACTGCCTGGAGAAGATCTCCCTACTCAAATCACCTCTGGAATCTCACCCTCCTAAAGAATGTGCCCTTTCCTGGGTAGCTCAGTCGTTAAGCGTCTGCCTTCGGCTCAGGTCATGATCCCAGGGTCCTGGGATCGAGCCCTGCATGGGGCTCTCTGCTCAGCAGGAAGCCTGCTTCCCCCTCTCCCACTCCCCGTGCTTGTGTTCCCTCATTCACTGTGTGTCTGTCAAAAAAAAAAAAAAGAATGTGCCCTTTGTGCCAGAGCCACCTAGCCATCCTCTTTCTCAGAATTTGAAACCATAGCATCACCTCCGACTACTTCCTGTTGCTCTTGACATGGGCACCAAATCTGTTAAAGTGGTCCTTCGAGATTCTTCCAGAATCCTAATTTCTTCCTCTCTCTCTCTGAGTTCTCTCCCAGAGCAAGTTGTAAACCATTTTCAATTATGTCCTCTAATTCTTTGATGCTCTTTCCCCTTCAAAGGTCAGTCCTAATTCATTCCCCTTAAATGTGGACCAGACCCAGTGAACTCACTTCTATCAAGTAGAGTGTGGTGGTATTGATGTTATATGACTTCCAAGGCTAGGTGATAAAAAGGCCAGGTTCTGCCTGTCTCGATCGCAGGTTATCTGCTTTGGGGGAAGTCAGCCACCATGTCATGAGGACACGCAAGCAGCCTAGAGAGGCCATGTGTGGAGGAAAGAAGGCCTCCTGACACAGCCAGCAGGAACATGCCAGCAAGTGAATGAACCACATGGAAACCAATCCTTCAGATGACTGCAGTCCCAAACAACACCTATTATGGGGGGGAGGTGCGCTGTCTTTGGTCCAGTACCTTTTTTTTTTTTTTAAAGTAATCTCTACACCCAACGTGGTAGTCAAACTCATGACCCCAAAATCCAGAGTGACATGCTCTCTGATTCTTGATTTCGGCTCAGGTCATGATCTCAGGGTCCTGGGATCAAGCCCCGCATCAGGCTCCCCACTCAGTGGGGAGTCTGCTTCTCTCCCTCTATACCTCTGCCCCTCCCCCTGCTTGTGTTGGAGCACTCTCTCTCTCTCTCAAATAAATAAAATATTAAAAAAAAAAAAGTCACATGCTCTACCAACTAAGCCAGCCAGGCAGCCTGGTTCAGTACTTTTTTTAATGGCTTCATTAAGATATAATTTACATACCAAAAATTCACCCTTTTAAAGGGCACAATTCAATGGATTTTAGTATTTTGAATTGTGCAACCTTCCTTAAAATCAATTTAGAACATTTTCATCACCCCAAAAAGAAACACCACACCATTAGTAGTTACTCCCCATTCCTCTTTCCAATCAGCTCTTGGCAATCACTTATCTACTTTCTGTCTCTATAAATTTGCCTAATACTTACTGAATATTAAGTCCTTTGCCCATTTTTTAATTGGGCTATTTGTCTTTGTATTGAGTTATAATAGTTCTTTACACATTCTGGATCCCAGCCAATATCTGCAACCTCACAAGTGACCCTGAGCCAGACTATCTGCCTAAGCTGCCCCCAAAATCCTGCCTCACAAAGACTGTGAGAGTTAATGACTGCTGTTGTTTCATATCACTAAGTTTTGGGGTAAGTTGTTATACTGCAATAGATAACTGATATACCCAGTTACTTCTGCAGTCTATTTCCTGGCTGTTTTTCCTGCTCAGAGTTCTTCTGCTTCCAAGTCCTTCTCAGATTGTTATCATACTAACTTTTTCAAAACACCATTTTCAGCATGCTGTTCCTCTGTTTCTTTAGAATCTCTTATTCTCATATTTGTTAGGGCCTCACATGTCACAATAAGGAATCACTCTGTAGGCAATGGAGAGGACATGCAAATCTGAGTTTATAGAACAGAACAGTAGAAATGTCCAGAGGCTCCCACTGCTTTATATCTAAAATCCCTTATATTGGCTTTCAGATCCTCCATGGTCAGACACAAACTCCCTTGCTTGGTAGGGAGGGAGAAGTGGATCAAAACTGTTGATCCCTTTCTGTTATTTTGTGTAAATCTCATCCTTGTCCCATCATGACATTGGCCATCCAAGCCAGCAAGAACATTAAAGTACCCCATGGTTGGGGCGCCTGGGTGGCTCAGTCAGTTAAGCATCTGCCTTCAGCTCAGATCATGATCCCAGAGTCCTGGGATCGAGCCCCACATCGGGCTCCTTGCTCAGCGGGGGGCCTGCTTCTCCCTCTCCCACTCCCCCTGCTTGTGTTCCCTCTCTCACTGTGTCTCTCTCTGTCAAATAAATAAATAAAATCTTAAAAAAAAAAAAAAAAGTACCCCATGGTTGATGTTATTTTACAGCCTGACTCCCACTGCCAAGCCTGTATCTGCCTTCACTCTTGCCCTCCCCAGGCCCAGAATGTCTGGGTTTTTCTACTTCTCCAGTCAGAACTCAGCCAGCCCTTAGCCACCTGCCATACAACCTTTCCAAGCTCCAACTCCGTCTTAGGCTGTAACTAGTGACCTTGGACCTTTGAAGGTGCTCCTAGACCAGGCTTTGACTGGAGCCCATGTGGCTCTCTGAGGTCAAAAGGCCTGCAATCCACAATTTGTGGTTTTGTTTAAGCTTAAAAGAGGCTTTCTGGCTGATAAAAGTGCCGGGAACATTTTCAGTCATTTACACTTCAGTACAGAGATCACTGGGCCCTTCCTGAAAGTCACATCTGTGGGGAGGAAGGGCAAGAGGATATAGAAGTTAAGAGCAACATTTGTGTAAAGCAGCCAAGAAGGGTTTTGTTTTGTCTCAAGAGAGGTCCCAAATGCCTGGAACTAACAAGACGTCTGGCTACATGGCTCAAGAGTAGGATGAGAGACCAGACACTTCTCTCTTACTAGACAGTGCTGCCTAAAACGGCCACTTTCTGGGAAGCACTAACACACACAGCATTTACCATCAGCTGAATAAACATCTGATTTTATGTTTCACGGTGCCCTAACCAGCCTGGTTGTTTTAAACCTGACCTTCCTGTAGAATGACTCCGACTCTTCTCCCAGATGAACGGCAGCAAAGAGGTTGCTGCCCAAACCTGCAAGAGGAAATGTCCCCAGAGCAATCTCCTGGGGAAGAAACCCAACCAATATTCTAATAAATCCCCTACACAGACTTCCCACTCTGAAAGACTTATGTCTGCTCCCCACAGGCTCACCCTGGACATGATCTGTCAATTTCCTCCAAATGTGTGTCCAGGAGTAAGGTTAGAAAACTCGGATAAAGTTTCGAATGCTAAGTCGCAGGGCATGGACTTTGGTCTCCAGGCAGGCCTTGCTAAAAGTGCTAAAAGTGGGAAGAATTGAGGCAGAATGTGAGGAAAACCAGGGAACTGGTCCTGGTGAGTTTCCTCCTTCCCAGAGCCTGTTTGATTATGGCTTCCTCATGTGGGAGTTGTGAGGATAATCCTGGCCCTGGGCAAAATCAGTCACTTGCTTTCCTTGGAAGGGATTACATCTCTGAGGTTATCATCACCTCCCACCAGAGGCTGTCAGGTTAACTGGAGGTGACAGGCTGAAGATGGCCAACCCCCAGCGGGCAAAATGAGGAGATGGTGATGCGGGCCCAGAGAATGTCCAAAGACATCTCTAGAATAACTGCGCCTCTGCCTAGCTCTCTTTCTGAGGCGGGCTTTAACAGGTGACCTGTTTCAATCCTGCTGATAATGTTATAAGTTTGCTGATATCAGAGCTTTGAGGAGGCGCTTTTTCTTTCCTATCCCCAGAGAAGTGGCGCAGGGTCAGGAGACTGACTCTGCCGGACAGAGAACTTTAAATCAGAGCCCTTGATGGACGGTTAGATGCTGCTCTCTCTGCGCTTCCCCCCACTCCCCCCCACCCCCGATCCTCGAAAAGAGTGAAAGGGAGATTCCCTGGACTTCTCATGTAAACTCCCACGGGCCCCGCTTCTATCCCGGGCTGCGCCTCGTGGGAGAGGCTACTGTCTGCGCCCCTCTCGGGCCTCCTCCCCCAGCCGGCGCCCCAGCCACCTCGCACCTTGACGGTGTCCAGCGGGTGCCCCACAAATACCAGGCACATGCCGCCAAAGCCGCCGGCCAGCAGGTTCTTGAGCGGGCTGATGGGCTTCGCTTCGTCTGCCATGGCCCGTCCGTCCACCTCACCGGCACTGTGTCGGTCTGTTCCAAACCCGTCCTGCTCCACAGCCCCAGCCACAGTGCCTGCAGCGCCGACCTTTCACCCACTTTCGGGTGGGCGGGGCAAGAGCCGGAGACAGGTTGGGAGGAGGGCACAGGCTGCAGGGTCCGGCTTCCGCTGGGGAGGGCGGCTTCCGGTCGAGGCCCCGCCCCCGACCGGCGTGGTTCGGGGAAGCGGAGCTGGCCTGCACACCCTCTGGGCCGTGTTTGGGAGAGCGGGCGGTTAGATTTACTCCTCCAGGAAGTCTTCCCGGACTTGAATGTTTTCTAATCTGGGCTCCCATTCCTCCAGTCACTCCACTGAGGCCAACAGCGCTCTGCTGTGTTCCAGACGCCTTTCCAGGTGCTGGAGGCATAGCTGGTAGCTCAGCCCTCGGGTCCCTGTCCATGTGGAGCTTACAGAGCATAACAAAGATAAATAAGTGAAAACTGCATAGTGTATCAAATGGTGATAACTGCTTTGGAGAAAAACCTGGAAAGAGGGTTGGAGAGTATGGGAGAGAGCAGGTGAGTGATAGGCAGTTTTAAGTAGGTAAGGGAAGGTTTCACTGAGGAGGTGAGGGAGGGAGTCCTGTCCAAAGATATAGGGTGGAGGGTGAGGGACCTAAGAAGCAGAGGAAAAGAAAATGCAAAAGCCCTGAGATGGACTGTGGCTTGCCTGTTTGAGGAACCCCAGAGAGGCCTTTGTGGCTATAGCAGAGTGAGGGAGAGGAAGAAGTAGCAGGTAAAGACATGAGATAATACTGGCACATTAAACAGGCTTTGGTGCCACTATGAGGACATCAGCCTCTCCTCTGAAGAAGATGGGAGACAGAAGCCATTCTGGGTTTGTTTGTTTCTTTGTTTGTTTTTAAAGATTTATTTATTTGAGAGAGTGCGTGTGCTAGAGCGTGGGGGGAGGGAGGGGAAGAGAGAGGGAGAGGGAAACTCAAGTGGACTCCATGCTGAGAGCGGAACCCAATGCGAGGCTCCACCGTAGGACCCTGAGATCATGACCTGAGCCAAAACCAAGAGGCCGACACTCAACTGACTGCACCACCCAGGTGCCCTGCCTTTCTGGGGTTTTGAGCAGGAGAGTGACATAGTGAGTTAACAGCACTGTAGGGAGCAAGGAGGAAGCAGGGAGCCTGGACGAAGCTAAAAGTAATGGTCAGAGGTGCTGGCTTGGATGGGACACAGAAAAGGAGGTGGTGAGAAGTATTTGGATTTTGGATATATTCTGAAAGAAGAACCTAAAGGAATTGTTAATGAATAGAACATAAGGTATGTGAGAGAGGAGTTAAGGATGATGCTAATATTTTTGCCTTAATGACTCTAGGTGGATGGTATCCAAGTATTCACTATCTTACTCTTTCATCATTTCTGTATGTTTGAAAATATTCAATTAAAAAGCTGTGAATAGGGGTGCCTGGCTGGCTCAGTTGGAAGAGCTTGAGACTCCTGATTTCGGGGTTGTGAGTTCAAGCCCCATGTCGGGATTACTTAAATAAGTAAAACTTAAACAAAAACAACAGACATGTGGCAGGTACCTCACTGCCAAGCTGACCCGATAGAGGGCAAGGAGGCTGAGGCAAGGGCCCAAAGCCTGTCTACTCTATGCCATACACCTTTTTCTAAGAGGTCATGGGAAGCCATGGAACAGTTTTAAGCACAGTGGTGACATGATCAGATTTATTTTAGAAAGTCTATTTTAGATGGATGAATTTGTGTTGGGAGAGACTGGAAGCAGGGAAACCAGATGAGAGAGAATTACTGCAGTCCAGGAAAGAGGAAGGGAAGTCATGAACTGAGGCAAGGGTCACTGGTGGATGGAAAAGGAGCTAGAACCCAGAGGCTAATATTACCAGAAACCTGCAGCAACTCTGGGTTTCAGAAACTGCAATTGCTGTACTCATGGAACCCTGAGGACATATTTGATCATTATCAGGTGTACAGATTGGGAACCAGGGGAGAGGTGAAGCCAGAGACAGAGCCAGGAAGGCTGCAGCAAAGAGATGTATATGCAACCCCTGGAAGACTATACCATGGGGAAATGGGCTGGCATGTTAGGAGGAGCCCCCAAAACAGAAGTTGCTACTAGAGTTTTAGAGGAAACCAAAGAGAGAATGATGCCTTTCAGTAAAAAGGATGAAAGGGTCAAATGCTGGGTCAAGCTAAGGAATTTTAAACACTCCTTAAGTTTAACTATTAGTCATTGGTGACATTTAGAAGAAGCTTGCCAGGAGTGTTGATGTAATGGGTTGAGTACTGAACAGGCCGCAAGAAGGCAGGGCACTGAGAGTCAATTAATTACTGGTTCGAGGGGTTTGGCAGGGAAGCGAAAAGAACAAAGACTTAAAGGAAGGTTTAGATTTCAGTGTTTAAGATGGGACTGAGGCTGAGGGAAATATCAAGAAAAGAGAGAGAAAGCACCGCTGATAAGACAAGGTCCCTAAGGTGGTGTGGGTGGTATCTAGTGTGTGTGGCATCACCCAGCAAGCTTCTTCTAAATCCCTGGGATCTCTAGGACTCTGAATCTCTGGAACTGAGTCCTGGCACAAGAGTCTTTAAAGCTTTGTGACTGGGTTGGTGAAGCACCCATTGTTAAGAACCTCTGAAACAGAAGAAAACTGTTTAAGATAGGCAAGGAGACAGCTCATAGGCCAATTATAAAGTAAGGTAGCATAACACCTGACACACAGTAGGTGCTTAAAAGTCTGATTGCTGTTGGGGCTCCTGCATGGTTCAGTTGGTTAAGTGTCTGACTTTTGAGTTCAGCTCAGGCCATGATCTTGGGGTCATGAGATCAAGCCCCGTGTTCAGCTCTACGCTGAGAGTGGAACCCGCTTAAAGGATTCTTTCTCTCCTGGGGCACCTAGGTGGCTCAGGCGGTTAAGCAACTGATTCTTGCTTTCAGCTCAGGTCATGATCACATGGGTCATAGGATCAAGCCCCGTGTTGGGCTCCACACTCAGCGGAGAGTCTGCTTGAAGATTCTCTTCCTCTATCTTTCCACCCCCTCCTTTAAAAAAAAAAAAGGATGATTGTTGTTGAGTAAGTTACAAAGTGGTTTTCTGTCTTCAGAGGGCTTCAGTATGGCCGAGGACAAGAATCTCAGACATTAGAACAAGAAAGGGCAGTTAGAAGAGAGCTCAAGTGCAAAGCAGATTGTCAGCTCCTGAGACCTGAGATTTCCTCCTGACTTTCTTCCCCAGTGATCATCTTTGTGTTTGTTTCCCATAGATTATGGGGAATTTCAACCAGGAGAGGGCCACATGTTCACTGAACTCTTCCTGTTTGCAAAACTCTGTGCTAATCACTGAATTGACCTCAGGAGTTTTACTGAGCAAAGGTCCAAGATTCAGGATTTTGTAATGGGACCTTATTTCTCTCATTTACTGCTTGTAATACTTTGGCTACAGAAGAGAAGCTAATTTAGAGTCAACCTGCACTCACAGCAGCTTCTAGGAGAGATGGTCTTTGATATAAAACAGCCCTCCTAGTACCCCTGCTGGTAACCTCCATGACAGACCACAATGTGGACTCTACTTAAGCCCACCAGGTCCTATTAAATCCTCAAAGGGTAACTGATAATCCACTAAACAAATGGTCTTCCTGCCTATTTATCTGGTCAGGCTTACCCACAACTAGAAAACTGACATGAAGGGGTGTCTGGGTGGCTCAGATGGTTAAGCGTCTGCCTTCGGCTCAGGTCATGATCTCAGGGTCCTGGAATCGAGTCCCACATCGGGCTCCTTGCTTAGCAAGGAACCTGCTCCTCCCTCTGCCTGCCACTCCCCCTGCTTGTACTCTCCCTCTCTCTCTCTGGCAAATAAATAAATAAAATCTTTAAAAAAAAAATAGAAAACTGACATGAAATTTAATCTGACTATGCCATTTCCTGCCAAAAATCATCCTTAGCTCCTCATTGCACCGGAATAAAATACAAGTAGTATTCTCTGGGCAGTCAAGGCTTTTCATAATCTCATAGTAGCGCACTCCCTCAACCTTGTTTTTCTCTAGACTCTATCTTCATCTCTGAGCAAACTGAGCTTCTCCTGGTTACCACACAGACCTGTTACTTAATTGCCTCCCACCCTTGACCCAGGCCTCTTTACATGTACTTTTCCCTTCAGCACATAGTTTCCTTCCTACTCCCTAACATGCAGATGCAAGAGACATATACTGAGTTGCTTCCACATGCTTGACATTGTCCAACCAGTGGTTCTTAGCCATTTTCAGGGTGGAAAATCCCTGGTACCCCTTCCCCAGAAAAATGTACATATATATTTGCAGGTGTGCTTTCAGTCTCATGAGAACTCGAAGCCATCCTTGGACCTCAGATGAGAAGCCTATTCCTAAACTCTGGAAATCAAATATGGACTAATCTTCCTAATGTCCCTTCTTTGGTCCTTTTTTCTTCTTTCTTTCTTCCTGGCCTCAGATTCTAAGTCTGGGCTAAAATCTCTCCAATCTCTACTCATCATGGGCTCCACCCCTGCTGCCCACAGGGATCTCAAACTCAACAACCTGAAGGTAAATGGCATCCAGGAAAAAAGAACCCACAAGAAATCTTGAATTTAAAAGTACTTCACAGGTGAGCTGAATTAAAGTATGGACACTCCTAGAAAGAAAATTAGAAAGCTGAATGATCAAGTTGATAAATCTCTTTAAAAAGGCAATGTGAAAAAAAAGACAAGCTGAAAAAGAGAGGGAAATTATGGCACAGAGGACAGATTCAGAGGTTCCCACCTCTCTAATAGTATTTCCAGTAGGAAAGGACAGAGTAATAGTATTACTAATAGTATTTCCAGTAGGAAAGGACAAAGTAAGGAGAGAAGGATATAATCAAAGAAATAAAGAAGAAAATATCTCCGTAGGAAACTCACATCTTTCAACTGAAAAGGGCCAGTGAGTACCAAGCAAGATGAATAACAAAAGACATCTATTTGTACTGTGGCAACTTTTCAGAACAAAAGGAAAAAGAATTTTTTTTTTTTTAAGATTTTATTTATTCATTTGACGGAGAGAGACACAGCGAGAGAGGGAACACAAGCAGGGGGAGTGGGTAAGGGAGAAGCAGGCTTCCCG